CCCTAATCTTCCCTCCTCCTCCTCCTCCCATCCCCTCCTCATTCTCCTTCCCCTCCACCCCTCCCCCCTACTAGCTCCTCCCCTTCTCCTCCGCGTCCCGCTTCCTCCCTCTCCCCCTCCTCCTCCATCATTCCCACGGTTCACCCTGCCAATCCTCATTTTCCTTCTCCTTCTCCTCCTCCTCCTCCTCCTCTCCTCCTCCTCCTCCTCCTCCTCCTCCTCCTCCTCCTCCTCCCCCTCCTTCCCCTCCTCGTCTCCTTCCTCTTCATATCTCTCCTCCTCCTCCTCCTCCTCCTCCTCCACCTCCTCCTCCTCCACCTCCTCTTCCTCCTTCTCCATTCATTGTCCTCATAAACAACCCCTCCCTGTCGCACCCCGATGCCGGTCGAAAGGGCGGGCCGGGCTTTGCACCTGAAGCTCAACAAGTGGCAAGAGTTGCACAGATGAAGAGCGGGTCGTTTTCAAAATGAAGCTCTCGCATTAGCGCCGCGCACACTCATCTTAAACATGTTCGAGGGTTGCACGTATCGAGTGCGGGTGGTTTGCAAAATGTGGCCCTCGCAGAAGCGCTGCGCAGACAATTGCAATGCATTCAAGAGCTTCACAGACAGATGAAAGGCTGGTCAATTTCAAAATCCGGCTCTCGCATTTACGCCGCGCACACTCGTCTTACCCATTTGCGAAGTCTTCACGGGAACGGCATGCTCGTTTTCAGAATGTGGTTATCGCAGCAGCGCCGCGCACACTTCTTTCTAAACGTTAGAAGTGTTTCACGGGCTTCCATGGTCAACGTACCACAAGTGATGTTGTGGAAAGATTCAGGATTGTGAGGGCGCCACGGTTAAGTTGATTGGCGGTGTTGACGTGCCAAGGATGGTTTTCTGCGACGATTCCGCATCATCAAGGCGCAACGGTCAGGCTGATCCGTGGCGTTGGAGTCCCGAGAGTGGTGTGCATCGTTGATTAGTCATGGGTTTGCACTGGTCCCTCTCCTCCTCCTCCTCCTCCTCCTCCTCCTCCTCCTCATCCTCCTCCTCCTCCTCCTGCTTCTCCTCCTTCTCCTCCCTCACTCCTTCCCCCCCTCCCTCCCTCCTCCCCTGCCTTGTCCCTTCCCCGACACTCCCTCGGCCCTCGTTATCCTCCTCCTCCTCCTCCTCCTCCTCTTCCTCATCGCCCTCGTGGGGCGATCTGGAGCCAGGTGTAAATAGACCGATGCGCTTATGGTCAATCCTGGAGCTGTCTCGGGGCTGTCGTGCGCTGTCTCTGGCTACTTCTGCAAGCAAAAACGTGCAACTCACACTGACATTGAGCATACAAAGGTAGGTTCGATAAACATGTGTGGACACAACAAGGCTCATACACATGCGAGCATCAACTACATATGCATGAACACGTCCCAGAACACAGAACTGCCCCAGTCATATTATCATGTATCACCATAGAAGCGTGCACAGCCCAATTGAACATGAACTGCGAATGCCACATAAGTCGACCGAACGAGAGACTATGAAGAACGAAATATACTGACACTGACGGCAGATAGCCAAACCAACCACACCACAAGTATATAGTAAACCCACAAACAGTAGAACCCACATGGAACGCAACATATGGTACAACGAACAATTGACAGACAACGTGAAAGAAACATGAGCTGGACACCGAGATCGTCATTAATACCGAATCAGCATTCAACGAGGACGCCATGAAGTTCGAAATGGTGTTGCAGGGTGATGCGCTTGCTAACTGAACATCGAATTCCGCCAAATCCAATCCAGCACGTGCTAAAAACCCTTCCGATTCACCAGAGTGTCGATCCAACCCGCCCACCCAGACAATGAACTATATGGTCGGAGCGAGTTAGGCATGAGGTTGTGAAGGGGTATCTCGAGCTTCGAGTTCAACATTGCTGACAGCATGTGCCCCCCCCATTCTGCCTTGTAAAACATATGAAGACCTGAAAATTGTTGGTTTGGTTTCGTCGCTCCCGTATGACTTTTCTTGAGCATGTTGCTTGGCCTTCCACTGGGGCTTCCCCTGTATGCCGCTCACAAGGTCCCCGACTAAGCATCCCACCAAGCCTGTCATCAATCATCAGCCTTGCACAGGATGCCGTCTAGCATAACTTCAACTAAGCAATATACCAAGCCTACTTGTACACGTCCCACTGAGCGGTACCCGACCCAGAAATCTTCCCGCTAGTATCATCAGCGCAGGGGGTCAAAGTGACCCTCCATGGAAGTGTCCATATTTACCAGGGGCATGCCTTGTACCATATGTGCACGCGCGTCTGCACGTAAACGAATCCTGCAAAGCGCAGGCCGAATGCATGACCATCCTCGTTTCTGCGCAGCCCTCCTGCTTTTACACATGGACGTCCCCCTCCCTGTGCCACGGCTGCGCAGTGGTGGTTGGGTCAGCAACGCACCCTGTGGCTATCCTTTAGTCGGGCGTGTCCCCCTACAGGGGGATTTGGGCGCAGAATTGAGAATTCCCCAAACAAACAAATGATCAAAACAAATCAAAAACTCATCCCCCGACAATTTTTGGACTGTTTTTGCAGATTCCTCCTGTAGAGGGACAGCCCGACTTAAAGTTACCCTTTCCCGCTTGTGACCGCGCACCCTCGCTTCGCCACTGGCACGCGGGCTTTTCGCCTTTTTCAGCGCAGAAGCGCTGCGATCGCGGTCGCAGGTCGGCGACTCCAGTCGCACTCGCATCCGCGGCCTGCCTGCGTGCGGGAGAGCCTCGGCGAGAGAGGCGAGCAGCACAGGGCAGAAAAAAACAGCGCCGGCCACAGGCAACACATCCCGCAGCACTGCACGGTGAGACAGATCACGAATACTGCGCACTGCGAGGCGGTACTGCAGTGATTACTGACAGCTGCAGCCGCGGGTCGTAAAGAGTGTGCCTCGTCCGTGCGCACCGCCTAGCGAACCGATGCCCTGGGACCCTGGGAGTCGGCGGATACTGACTGGTTCTGGTGGTTCCAGGGGGGGTCCGAACCTCCCTATGTCAGCCGCCTGTCGAGGTACAGGACGAGCGTTCTGGCATGAGACGCAGAGTGACATACTAGTACTAGGTGTCTCCCTTGAAGGCGTGCGTCCGACCAACTCTATTAGTACAACAATATCTGAGCATACCGTTACCCAAGCGGTATGGCCGGAAACCGCCTGCGACTGAGTTTACACATTGAGATTTCTGAGCGTGGGCGTCGCCCCTGCAGGGCCGAGTATGCTTGGATGATGCCGATCCCAAGTAGTGGGCATGGATAAATCCCAGCCTCCGTAAGCGAGGGACTAGGGGCCTTTCTGCATCTGTCCGTGCCCGTGCCGTGCCGATTCTCGGAGCGCGCCGAATGGGGAAGCGAGAGGGGGCAAGCCTTCTCAGAAGGCGGCGGGGCTTCTCTGGAGCCCCGTTCCACTTACCGGAACTGCCGCCACCTGAACAAAACACCAACTCTACGGCAGACCTGGTTTCGTGATTCTGGCAAATTCAAGGGCTCCGGGGCCCTACCACTAACCGGGTCCCCTTACATGGGGTCCTGGCTATACCCGGCTAGGGCACAGCAACACAGGGCGGCGACATCCCGCGAGCCGGCGCAGCACGTCATCAGGTCGCGGCAGAACTGCACAAACATAACCCTCTGGAGGTCCGCACTGGGCACCCCGCCCTGGGCCAGAGCCCACGCCCTCGCCCTCCTGGAGGCACACACATATACATATGTGTGTATATATATGTGTACATATGTATAGATGTATATATGTGTATGTATATATATATACACATATATTTCTATGTGTATATATATGTATATATCTCCCTATATATATATCGGTGGCGCCGCTCGGGCGAGCCACTTCTCGCTGACCTTCCGCGAAGGGTGCTCCGAAGGTCGAACCCCAGAGAGAAGAAACATGCCGCACTCCAGGAGACGCAGTGCAGGCCACAGCCACTTAGCAGGGCGCATCCGAGAAACCATTCAAAGCCAACACGAAAACACCACAAAACGTGCTGTTCACTTCATCTGGATTTTGATAGGGGGCGCTGCTACTGAAGACGCCCCGGTCAGCCCCGACCATCCTGGCGCAATTCAAAGTCGGTATTGTTTCTTACGCGCACTCTGTAGCCCTAGTAACATAATGACCCACTCGGCGTACTCGCGACCCACCCGCGATCCCACCGCGACACACCCGCGACCCATGAGCGACCCCACCCGCGATCCACACGCGACCAATGCGCGACCCGCCCGCGACCCACTAACATAATGGAGGGGGGGCTGCGGACAGGAACGAGGATGAGGAGAGGGAGGAGGAGGGGAACCGCAGGACGCACGCTCAAACTCCCTGGTGCGCTACCCTCAGCTACAGTGGCAACGAGGGGGTGCACAGCGGCACTCCCCATGGAGGCGCTCGACACGCAACGTTGGCAAACAGCAGGCAGGCGGGACGAGCAAGACGGTACAACGGTTCGGTCGGGCATGTCCTCCTACAGGCGGATCTTGTAAGAAAAAAGTGTAAACAGTTGAAAATACTCAAAGGATGGTCAGAAATAATCACAAATCGTCCCCAGACTATTTTTGGAGTATCCCTCCTGT